ACAAAGGAGGGGAAGCTCAGCTCAGCTGGAGGGACACGGATCTCGGTGGAGGCAGGACACAGAGTGCTGGTACCAGGGCTGTGGTTCCAGCCTGTCGATGCTTTGGCTGCTGGATCCTGGTGGTCTGTGGCCACGGTGCCAGCAGAGGTGACCCATCACTGCCCACCCTGCACAAAGTTGCAGCCCCCTGCTCTTGCCGTGAGCTGCCAGCCTCACTCCTCACCAACCCTTCTGGCAGACCTTGTCCCTCTTTTCTCCTTCTCTCAGGTGAAATGGCAGCAATTTGGGGCTGTTTGTGCACGGTGAAGCCTCTGCAGGGAGGGGCTGCTGTGCTTTGTGCTGCTGCTGCAGGGATGCTAGTGCCACCAGCTGGTGACAGTCACCTTCCTCCCGCGGTGGTGGCAGCCAGCCCAGCTGCCAGCAGTGATGCTCTTCAGCTGGGAGCACACTCCTGGTACTCCTAGCACCTTGCAAGTGGGATATTGCCCCAGTTCTGGTGGCCTTGCAGTACAGTGTCCCGAGGCTCAGAGCTGATATCTTTTGAAGAGCTTGTTTCTGGCTGTTCCCCTCCCTGTGGCCACTGAAGCCAGCTGCACATTGAAACCATCCCTTTGGCACTGGTGCTGTCTGCCATTTCACCTCCTTCCTGGGAAATCTGGGATGTGGCTGGGCTTTGTGGCAGCTCTGCCTTGGCATCTGCCTGGGACCAGCATGTCCTGGGCCAGCAACTGGGCATCTTTCTTCCTGCCATTATAATATAAATATTAAAGGTTTTTTAGAGCCTTTTCAGGGCAGGAGCTTTCCCTAAAGTCCATCTTGTGATTGCAGGCTCTAGGGGGAAGCCCCTCAACCAGCCTGTGAAATTTGGGGATGCTGCAGGACTGGCAGCTCCTTGGGAGCTGCAGTTCTGTGTCTGTGTGGTGCTGAGCTCTACTCAAACAGGCTCTGTCTGTTCCTCTCCCATCCTGGTTGCGAAAGGTAAAGGTTTTGAGTTCAAACCCCATCTCTGTATCCCTGGATCATGTTCTCACAGCAATCAAAACAGTGAATTGAAGCGAAAATTGAGCAGAGTTCACCCAGCCCTGTACAAAGCAAGAATTTCCTGCTGAGCCTTGCCCGAGGCACCTCCAGCAGCTGCTCCAAGGAGTGAATCAGCTGCGTCTGGGCTGGTCCAGGGCTGGGGCACTGGACTGTGAGCTGGTCAGGCTCAGCAGCTCATCCCTGGCCGTCCCAGCTTTGGACATGAGGCATCTCCTAAAATCCTTGCCCTGTCTGTGCTGAGCCTGAGACTGTCCCTGTGGCAGGGGAGCCAAGGGGTGGAAAGGAGCAGAACCAGGAGCTCAGACAGTGCTGTGCAGGGAGGTGCTTTGAAGCAGTGGAGTGAAAGCACAGCCATACTGCCGTGGTGCCCATTGGAGCACAGAGAAGGAGGACAGAACCTGAAATAGGTGCTTATTATGCTACTGGATGGGTTGACCAAAAGACTTGTGTGCTCCATCCCCGGCTGGAGCCCTGGGGAGGGTGGGGTCTCTCCCGGCCCCCCGCGGTGGTGCCTCATCTGCCGCAGGGTGGTTATTATTAGCCCAGCCGTGACCCCGCAGCTATGCTGGGTACCGGCAGCTGAAACTGTGACTCA